GGAGCTGAAGTTCCTCTCAATGAAGACTTTGCTCCTGCTGGCATTGGCCTCTATCAAGAGGGTAGGGGACCTGCACGCATTTTTGGTCAACGATTTGTGCCTAGAGTTCGGGCCGGCTGATTCCCAGGTAACCCTGAGGCCCCGGCCCGGCTACGTGCCCAAGGTTCCCGCTACTCCCTTCAGGGATCAGGTGGTGAACCTCCAAGCGCTGCCCTCGGAGGAGGCAGACCCAGCCCTAGCTTTGCTCTGTCCCGTCCGAGCCTTAAGGTGCTACGTAGACCGGACGCAAAGCTTCAGGACCTCAGACCAGCTCTTTGTCTGTCACGGAGGCTGGCAGAAGGGGAATGCCGTCTCAAAGCAGAGGATGGCCCACTGGATAGTGGATGCCATCACCCTGGCTTATCAGGCACAGGGTGTGCCCTGCCCGCTCAGGTTGCGAGCTCCCTCAACTAGAGGTGTTGCATCCTCCTGGGCGCTGGCTCGTGGCGCCTCGCTGGCAGATATCTGTAGGGCTGCGGGCTGGGGGACCCCTAACACATTCGCTAGATTCTATAGCCTTCGTGTGGAGCCGGTATCCTCCTGTGTTCTCACCTCAAACGGGTAGAAGCACTGAGAGGCCCCGGCTTCGGGTCGGCTTGCAAAATCACTCCAGAGAGTCCATACAGTAGACCCTGTTGAGTTCCTCCGTCCCCTCGGCAGCCAGACGTGGCGGAGCGTCCGGCGCCAGGCCTTCACTCGCTGAATCCTCGAGAACCGGTAGAAGGCTGGGTTCCATATGTAAGACCTAAGTGGATCTCATATGTGTAAAGTCCACGGAATAGCCTTGAGCCCGTGTTTCCCCGGCAGACTTCTGCCATTTCAAGAGGGTTCAATCACCTCCATTCTTCCATATGCACCTAAGGGATGTTCATATGTGTATTGCTTCCGAAACCTCCTTCGGGAAGGTTCGAGCTTCCGTAACGCCCCTGTTCCAAGTAGAACGGGTACGTTTTCCTAGTGTTATCCAGTCTTACTCATTGGGTAGTGCCATAGCAGCAGTAGCTGGTCCTCTTGTGAAGAAGCCCGGGCCTACGCCAAAAAATAGGGGCGCAGGTGGCTTCCACAGGACACTGGAAGGGGCAGTAGCTGTGGCCATTCAAAAACGAGACATTTTTTTTCCTTTTCTTTTTTTCTTAGCAAGGTGCCGCAAATGGAAAATAAGGGACAATTGTGATTCTTAAGGGGAGACTGCAGGCAAGAGCACTGCTTTTTCATGCACCTGTCAATTTTTGGCTTTTTGGCTTTTCATAAAGTGTTTTTTCAGACTAGTGGAAAGAAAACATCCAAAAGACACTGGAAAAAAGTTTCTTTTATAGCACTTTATCTATTTGTGTGAATAGATTTCAATTACAAAACATATTTTTAAAGGGCGTTTTCTCAAAATGAGTTTTTTCTCTTACACTGAGCCATAAATATCCACTTCAGTAGCACTTCCACACACCAAACTTTACATTTTTATTCCTGTCTATATTCTGAAGGTTTTTACTGAGGGATTTGTTCATATATAATTTGCTTGATTATATACAACATTTTATTCCCCCCAAAATTGTGAAAATATATTGTTTTCTGGCTGTTCAAAGTATTTTCTGAATTATGGAGTGACAAAAAGAGATATCCAAAATTCCCTCTGTAAAAACATTTGCCTCTAATATGTAAAAAATAAAACAAGAATTTTGAAACTGACTTCATCCAGTGTTCAGATTTTTGTACTAGAAATGTATGCAAATTAGCGCATATTTCATTAAATAATGCATAATTTGCATATTTAAACATAACATTTGAGAAAACTTGTAATACAAAAATGTTTTGCAATTATCAGTGTAATTAATCAACTGGGTAAGTAAGGTGATAATTAGTAGTTATTTTTTTTACCCTATTCACCTGCAGTGTCTCAAGAAAATAAGGGACAGAATAAGGGTATATCAAAATATTTGTATGTCTGCCTGCAGTTTAAAAGTTCTCAAAAATAATCACATTTGTTTTGCTTAACCTATTTATGTACATTTATTCTAAAAATAATTTTAATGTCATACAAAAAAAAAATAGAGTAAATTGTACTATTAAAGAATTGTGACTGCACAAGTAGTGTAGGCCTACTAATTTAGGAGGTGAAAATACTGTGAAATTACATACAATTGCATGAAATTTGAAAGAATAACAACTGAAGGTCTATGAAACGTCAGTCAATAAAGCACTTTTTTTAAACAATGACACTTACATTTTTGAACTAAAATATTATTGCAACCATATAGGCTATAGCCTATGAATGAATGAAAATGCATATTTTTCAATTAAAGAAAACTTAGAGAGAGCGGCCTACTTCTGGTGCTTGGATTTGTACTTCAAAAATATACTGAGGTCCAAGTTTAAGAATGCACTAAAAGCTAAATTTTTTCAAATGTATTTCTCTCTCTCTCTATTTAACAGCATTAACTTACAATAGTGAAAGACATCTTTCCTCAGGTAGATTGAATGTTTTCCTGTCTTGCTAGATGTTGGGCTCATAATCAATAAGTTGCATTCGCCCAAACTGATTTGCCAAAATCAAAATGCAGACAGTGAAGGGAATTGGCGTTAGCGCGAGTCCCGTTTGCTGTGATGCGGGAGCAGCCTGCAGAGGATTCCGCTTGGTCTTAAAGGGGTCATATGATGCTTTTTTAAAGATCATTATTTTGTGTATTTGGTGTAACAGAATATGTTGACATCTTTCTTGAGCAGCTACGTTCACAAATAAAACAATTTGCGAACAAAGAATGATTAATTATCAATTGAGAATTTGGGACAAATTGCGGTAGCTTTCATACGGAACTCTTTGATGCCTTAAATACGGGCATCCATATTTCAACAGTGGCGTGACAAGACCGGCCCTCACGGCCAAAAAACAGACCGGCCCACCAGGAATTCTCCCGGTCCTCCTGATTAGCCAATCCAGGCCTTGTACTCTTAATCACACTCTTAAATTATTTTTCATGAGTAATGGTGCAGTACGACATTTACAGTGGCCAACATCATAAAACCTTGAAAAATTATTCAATGATACTACAAAAATGAAAGTTTATAACATTTTGTACACTTCACAGAAAGGAATTGTGAGAATTGTGAGATTGTGGGGAAAAAAAATGTTAGAAAATTGTGGCTCTTGTTGAGGGAAAGCATTAATTAAACTAGTTAACATATTTGCATTCACTGTAAAAA